TTTTTTCCTTTTCTTTTTTTGTTGCGCTTTTGGGGGCCACACAATTTGGGGGGGCTAGACACTCCCAGCTCCCCCCGTAAAACCTTGCCTGCATAAAGATGCAAAAATATCGGATGGATTCAAATTCTTCGGACTTTTGTGAAGTTGGTTATTAATATCGATTACATTTTTTCCCTTTCAGAAAAGTTTTGTAAAAGTCTGTAAAGGCTTCCAACTACAGAGGATAAAGAGAATATCCGGATACGGACCCTTTTCGGTCAAGAGTATCCAACACTAGATACAAGCCATGGGCATCTCCTGGATTTTCTCAAGGGGATAAACTTTTTCGCGGGGGGGACACAGCACCAAAATGACGAAGCGTTACCGATGCAAAGGGATCAGTTTTTTTTAAGTAAATGTTTGATTTTCACTCCATTTAACCCTAAAAGAGCCGAACGAATTCTGTCTGTCCTTCCCCCCACACGCATGTGTGCCGATACATATCACTGCAGTGCATTTTAAGGAGCAGAGCCTTTAGGAGTTTTTAAAGTAACTCTTTGCGGTCATTTGACACCAATTTGGTGAAAATCGAACATGTCATTCTTACGCAGCAAATGTACAGGCCTATGTACTTTTCCACTGCGGTGCTAAAAGCACGCTAACTTCAAATGAACATTTTAACAAACCTTAATGTCTGATTAAGTTCAAACTTCACATTTTGTAATGATCCCCCTTGCAACAATCATGAATGTGTATCCTTCACAGCCCTAGATCTTATTCTGTTCCCCCTCTTTGTCAGCGAAGAAACAGTTGCCAGTACCTGCACATCGGAGTGTTCCAGGGTTGCCCGCAGCCAACCCAAGGCAGTGAGGACGTGAAGGAGATGAAGAAATAATAGACCGTGTAGGTGATGACAACTCCGTAGGCGACGGTCGCATAGAAGCCCACGAGGAATTGTCCGTAACTCAGGCCTGGAGAAAAAACATAAAATGGAAAAAAAGCCTAACAATGGCAGTATGAGGTTTTAGAAGAAGTTATGGTCGGAAGTCAAATCATTCACAGTCCTCACAAGCTATTCCCACTTTGCAAAGGAGAACTTCTTTATTCTCTTTACTTGTTTGTTTTGTTGGTGGCATTGCTCTTGGATCTTTTTTTACCTTTTAAGATGGGAAATGCTCGCCAGCAGGTCAGTATACCCAAACTGCAGTACTGGCCAAAGTTGACCTCCATAAAGAACATGGGCATCCCGGCAAAGGCCAGACTCAAGAAGTAAGGTATCAGGAATGCACCTGCAAATGGCACACAGACACTATTAACGGTCCTAAAGGTTCTCAGTCAAATGCCATTA